CACCTGAACCGGCAATTACCGGCAGAAAATGCAGCCAGGGGTGGGCTCATGTGAAACCGTCCTGCCGAAATGCGACGATATCAGTTGCACTTACCTTGGCAACTGTCTGGATATCTGTCATCAGGTGTTCAATTAATAGGGAACTCGGCGTACTACCCTTAGAGGGGGCTTACCTGTGAGCGCTTGTCAGCACACCAAACCCTGGAACTGCATACATGACATGTGAATACCAGACAACCCTGTCATTACCCTAAAGGCCTTGTTGCAGCCTCTCAAACACCCTGTTAATTCTTATCAGACGTACCACACCGGCTGGTCAATATTTGGAAAATAGAATTTACAGGACTCGGGGGCGAGGCACGATTGTGAAAAGACAAAAGAAAAATTAAAAAAGGTCTTAAGTACCCCACCCCTCAAGGCTGCTAGCACTGGAAACTACAACTTGCGGTCACTGCCTTTGCAAACGAGGTGGCGTGTCAAGGGGCACGCCACCTCGTTTGCAAAGGCAGAATGGAGCGTAGCCAGGAAAGCCTTTTCCACCAATTGTCATTAGTTGAGGATGGCATCATTTGGTGAAAATAACGCCTTGGCTGCTCTCCACTCAACACCCTCTCTCACGTCCTTTCGCCTGCTAGGGGAATAACTGCATTGTGCAATAATGTGATCTTATGAAATAATATTGAAATAATACCTTATTTTCAACAAATGGTGATCTACGTTTTACGAGTACGCTTCAATTTCAGGTGAGGACGCTTTATCTAAGCCCCATGATAATGTCGATGATGATCAGTGAAGCTGAGAACCATGAATACTCAGTAGAAGACTTGCGAACGGTGATCAGCGGCAGTGCGGCCGTCTCCAAAGATCTTTTCGACGATTTCCGAGAGGCGTTCCCATTCGTCAGGAACATTATTTCGAGTACGTTCATCAAAGGGCGTTTCGATTTTGTACGAGCTTTAAGTTGATATTCAATCTGTTTCAGCGTACGGCATGACAGAGGTCGGCTTGATAACGAGGACTGCACCTAGTGAAAAGTACTCAACGACGTGCGGTAAATTAGCCGCAAATCTTTCTCTAAAGGTTAGTCAGCAAGTCAGCACCATTGAAAAGAACAGGATCATCACCCCTTCGCCCAATCCTCTGGCTCGACGGCAAGTTTTTGCGAAAAAAG